AACGGCAGACAGACGCATGAGACCCCTTGTGCCTTGCTGCAAGTGGTGCAGATACTAGCCAGGTTGGGCGGGACAAGATGATTGTGAGTCCACATCAAGTACCCACATACCCGAAAGAATAGCCTGAAGGTGGTCGGCGGTATAGACAGAGCCACAGGGGTTGGACGGGTTGGTCACCACAATGGCCACCGTATGCTCATCAATGGCGGCCTCCAACGATTCGAGGTCAACTTCCCAGTCGGCTTCGGGCTAGAAAGCAGTGCGAGGGCAGTGGTCAGCCTGTCCTAATGACCTTAATGAAGCTCATGAGCAAAGGCGAGCATGACGGCGTACGCGCAGTTGATAAGTGTGCACGTTGTGGCCACGCGCCTCCACCAGGGTGCGGTAAAGGGAGAAGCCGGGGACTGGAATGGCTACGTTGCAGCCAGGGCGGCACAAGACTAGCAAGCACAAACACCGAGGCACACGCGGCATCAGTGTGCCAAGGTGCTACAGTATTCATAACGCACGGAGGAGGGCCCTTACCGCCCAGTGCCATGTCCAAGGCTCCTGAGCATCCACTGGCAAGAACGACATCCTAACAAGCGCAGATAAAACATCAAGATGTTCTTTACATTTCAGCCAACTCGGATTCGTGCATGACTTGTGGTACCAAACTTTCAACAGGCCGGCCAATGCAACCGACCTCGGCAGTGTAGGTGAGGTCTTCACTGCTGTACTCCTTGGCAACAGCAGCACGCGCATCCTGATAACCTAGCAAAATCAAAGGAAAAAAATAAATTACAAAACACGAACATATTGCAGCTCGAGGCCGAAGCCGAGCCCGCTGGCATTGGCATCCCAGTGGCAAATTTCATACCGGCCGAGTGAGGGTATCCATCGCGTTTATGGCTGCGAAGGCTGGCGGCCACAGCTTCCAGAACCTCATCAGCAGTTGTTAGGTTGCCAAAGACAGTTGGATCGCCTGTGCGGGGAGCCAAGAATGTGACAATGAGAACCAAGCGCCACCCATGGCAGGCGTTATTGAGACACGGCGGCACGCGACCAAAACGGCAGAAAAAGTTGCACTCGATTATCAAGCTGCTGACCAATGGAGAGGGGGATCATAGGCTTGTCGGGATGGCCCGACAGATCCATCGTGTCCACCAAATCACGGATAGGGTTGACCGTGCGTTGCGCCGTTGCGCAGGCTGGGATCGAAGCCCACTTTGTCTGCAATGTTTTATTGTGACCAGAGACCATCCACACGGTGTTGGTACGCAAAGGCAGGGTGGGCATGAGCGCGCCACGCACAAGGCTGTAGATCACTGACAAGGAGCAGGTTGGCGTTGACACGTGCACACTCGATCAAACCCCCTCTAGCCCCCTTTGGCGCCATTTTCACCAAGGCTAGAAAGGGTGCTGTAGTACCCAGCCTGAAGCTCGACAGCCTTTGCTCTCCAAACCACAGCGCCATCCCCATCACAGACGAGACATGCCAACCCCGCCCTCAAACACCGACACCGACACCGACACCGACCTGTTGCCCGTTAGCTGCCATCCTTGCGTTTGCGTTTGCGTTTGCGTTTGCGTTTGCGTTGTTTGCTCTTGACCGCACCACTGACCAAAATGTACCCGCTTACACACTTGGACTTAGGCTGAAGCATCTGTCAGTCCCTCAGTCTCTCAGTCTCTTGTCTCTCTCTCTGTTCTGTCTCTCTCTCTCTCTCTCTCTCACACTACATGTGGTAGTTGTACTATTTCTTGGTGTCTTTGTTGTTTACATGTTTTGCCTTTTTTTTTCTTTCTCTCTCTCACCAATTCTCTCTCAATTCTCTCTTGTCTTTTGCAGTGGACAGTTACTTCATGTGCTGAGCTCGACCGGTGGTCCAGTGGCAAACCATTTGGGTACGTGTCTCGACTGAACCGGTTCAAAGGGGCCTCCTTCTCCTGTTGCTCCTCCTCCTCCTCCACCACCACCACCTCNTCCTCCTCTTCTTCTTGGTAGGCCTGCGGCACGAATCTCACGGCACACCGATCTACTCGTTTCCTCGGCTTCTTTCCCATGGTGGTGTCCTACAGCAATGGCCACGTGAAGCTCTGCTGGTGTAGGCATTTCGCGCGAGCGAGGTCGTTTTCTCCAGCCGACCTCTGTCTCAAGCTACCATGGACGTATCCGACGACATCGACGTTGCTCACTGCACCTATCATGACTATGGCTGGTGGCATAGCAAGCTTTCGAAGCTATCAGGTACGTCGACTGTTGCTTGTCTCCGTGACTTGATCGCTCGTCCCCAAATGCTTTGCTTTTGCGTGCTTGCGGGTCCTGCGACGCATTGACATATCGACACACCGGCTCATCGGCACACCGCCATGCGCGCGCCCACCTACCCACCAACACACAGTCAGCGCCCCGGACAGCAACTGTTGCGTACAGGACATCTGCTCGGCCCTCGATGAGGTTTGTGTCCTGTCGTTTGGCTTTCGTCACAAGAGGTCGCGATACTGGGAGGCCACAGGCGAAAAGACAAAATAGATGCTATATATTGTGCTGCTTCAATTGCCGACGTCAACGGCACGCTCCGACTGGTTTGCCCATTGCTCTCCTCAACCACTCTTTCTCTACATCTGACCTATCTACATCATCAGGTGGCGCGTGAGCTGTTGGAGCTGGGCGCAACTTTTATGACCCCCAAGCAGCTCGACGACCAGCTCAATGCGCACGAACATCTAGGCCTTGTAGTCCGCCTACAGATACCCATCCTGACAGAAACCCTTGCGAACTTAAAGTGAGCCGCCTCGAGCATGTCAGCTGACACGAGGGCTTCTTGTGTCTCTCATGCGCCATGCCGTTGTTGGATAGTGACGTTCAAGACAAAGCCCATGCTGAAGCCGCTCAACACTGCCTTCAAGGTATCTCATTCCCAGCCTCGTTTCTTGTTTGATTTTGCACAGCGCCTCACGCAATTTATAAAATAGGCATTCTCGACTTTTATGCCAAAACGGCTGGTCTGACGGCACCTGCTCTGCACCAAGCCATGCATGATCTCTGCAACCTGCACGCACCGCTGTATCAGGATCATCTGGGCTGCCATCAGCTGTCTCTGGCGCATCTTCTTCAAGCCGTGTGTCAAGCTAACATTATCGAACGATTCGGCATCTTACTGGAAGAAAATTGCGATGCAGCCTGCTCGTTTGAGCAGCTGCGCATGTGGTTGGCTTTCACACAACAAGTGGGTGCACTCCTTCGCGCGAAAACAAACCTGCTTACATCAAGGGCTGCAAATGTACAGCCTGGCCGTTTTCCTTAACCGGTTTCCCGTATTGTCGGCATTCAGGTCGCGCTTTTTGGCTCTGATCCAAGGCTTCAGCCAAGCGTTTGGCGTCTGATAGAAGCGTCTTTTGAGTAAGTTGCTCTGGATAGTCAATCATATCGTCGAGTTTGAAGCAAAGATCCACAAGTTTTTGATAGAAACGCACGATTGTCCGTTGTTCACATTGGCAGATGGCTGCTGAGGCTGCCAGGTCATCGCCTCAAAGTGGCCCCAGTGTCAGAAATGAAGCAGATTCTGAAGCTTTTAAGTGCCATCAGCTCTCTTGCTGCTTTTGAGCCTAGCCTCGTGCGCGACAAGAAGCACGCTGTTCTAAACAAGTGCTTGCGCCTCTCCAGCCTTCAAGCTCAGGTCTTGGCTCTCAACATCCTGTCGGTACGCAACAGACCCAAAGCACATGCTTGTAGTTGTGCTCAGAAAGATGGCGGTGTCTGATGAGCAATCATGATTCTCTCTTCATAACCATCTCTTTGTTCATGTGCGCTCATCGTGGTTGCCTGCGTGACACTGTAGGGAGAGATTGCGCCAACTCTCGCGGTAAGTGGGGGCACGGTCGTCGCAGGTATCCTCTCACCATGTTAGCCATTAAGTTCTTCAGCATCGTCCTCATGCTTCGGATCTGCGACTTAACCCGACGCTTATAGCAACAACCGGAACAAGGTGACTGTGCAGAGCCTATGCTCAATGATCATGAACTCGATAGCCTCTCGGAGTGGCTGGCACGGGAGCATATCCTCGAGGATTTAGTCCACGATCAATTGCACGAAGAACTCTTAAAGCGTTTGCGCCCACTTTTATCGCTGCAAGCGCTCAAGGGCCGACTTGCGCTCAATGTGTGGCAACGTCTGTTGGAGGTGGCCTTGTGCAAACACGACTCTCTGGCTCAATGGGCCCTGGCTTGCTTGCCAGCCCTATACATGGCCCCGGCGGAGCATTTATCTCAGTTGCATTTGGACATGTGCAAACGGGGGACTGATTTGCCAAGGACCCCGACTTTATGCCTTGCTTATTGCAAGGTGCTCATCATCTGCTCTCAAGCGTTGATGCGCTCAGATGCCGCTAACACACACGTCCTCGAGAACTGTCTCAATGTCGCTACCCAGGCTCAAAGCTTGCCTTGCGCTGCTGACGTCCTGGCCCTGCTTCAAGACTTTTTGAGCAGCCTCTCACGCCCAGCCATCCTGCAAGCCGCTCAGCTGGCCTTGGTCAGCCTTTGCAAACCCCAGCTGTCGTTGACACATGCCCTCAATTTGCTTGGCTGTGTCATCGACGCCGCGTTGCGTGTACCAGATGCCGGTGCAAAATTGTTGCACGAGGCGCAAGTACAAACTGGGCTAATAGGTCTGATGCCACTGGCCGAGTCAACCGACTTGCTGCGCATCATACAGCTCTGGCTACGCGCATATAATCTTCAATATCCAATGCCGTGGCCGCAACTGGAAGGGTGGGTGTTGTCATGCTACTTGATGCACATCTTGAAAAGCCTTGGCACCCGTGCGTGTGTCAAGAGGATGCCTGGTGTTTTTTTTTTTTTTTTTTTTTTTTTTTTTTTTTTTTTGTGTGTGTGTGTGTGTGTGTTTGTGGACCTGCTCACTGTGTTGCTGACTTTTGCTTCCTTAGAGTCTGGGACATGCTTCTCCCGACGCAGAGTCGGCTGGGTCTTTTGCTTAACGCATTGTATCAGCAGGCGGCTCGTTCCTGGAGTTGTGACACCCTCTACGGATGTGACTTTTCTGCGCAGCTTTTGCAAATCTTGGCACGTGACATGGGGCTAGCTGGGCCAGAAGCGGCCCCTTTGTTCCATCGGCTCTTTATCAACCTGGGCATTGAGAACCAATCAATTGTGCTCAAAGGTCCTCATATGGATCTTTTCACATTATGCACGCCCCGGGGCTACGGCGAGCTGATGGACACTGTTCAATATGGATCGAGTGTCCTGACTGACCTCCTTTCAACCGTTGTTTGTAATACCTGGCCGTCTGAACGAGCAATCAAGGCTCGCAGGGATTTTATTGACCGGGCCATCACCGAAGCCCAGACAGCTCCCAACGTGGCTTCCCGAACGCCATCTGCTATTGTGTGGATGAGCTTGCTTGCCGAGATGATGGTCAAGCTTTCCTCTTCTGTGCTGCACTCGCACGCCCCACGCTGGCTGCAACTTAATCTGTGGGAGAACAACGTCAATGTTGAAACAATTTTCGTCTCCTCCATGGCTCTCGTCATGGATGTTATTGATCAGAGCTCACATTTGACCCAACTTCTCCCACCAGCTTCGGCCTTTGACTCCCGTCAGCTGCCGGTCCGGCTTCATGCTTATGTGCCAACTACAGCCACAGGCACTGCGCTCTCCTCTCCTGACATGCTACAGTCTCTGGAAGACCCACTTTTGTTTCACGTTTCAGGACTAGGCCCTTGTGACCTCATCGTCAAGCCACGGCGGTCCAATCGCCGATTACGTGACGCTGTCTCTATCACGTTTCCCTCGGACCCTGCGTTGCCGCGTTCGAGTTACGCCTCCGTGCAGGCGTTGCAGCACATCCAGCCCAGATGCATGCTGGCGGATAAGCCAAGCCACTTGCGATGCCTATTTGAGTTGACAAGAGGCAGCACAGACAGCCTGGCAGACCCGCAAAAATTGGCCAGCTTGGCCGCGACCGTGCTCGAGCACGTCCGCATCAGTCCCGAGTTGCTGGGTGAATGGTTGGCGAAGGACAGGCTTCTGACTGCCCTCGGCGATTGTCGCCTTTTTCAAGTCACCACCTTGGCCCGACTGATGCACCAAGAACTAACGACTGGTGTTGATGTGCGCCCTTGCTTGCGTCACGAAAGTGTCATCGCCGCAACTGTCGCAGCACTTTCTCACTTTTTAAATCCGCTGCCAAGCACCGGAGAGCCTCATCAAGTAGATCGGTGCATCGCCCTTCTTTGCCAGTGCTTGGGTACAATGCTGATCAGCGAACCACAGGAGCCAGGCCTGTCCAGCGCTACCGTACTTGAGTGCGTCAACAAGGCTTTGAACAGAGTTTTGGAGGGTCATCCGATTGTGGCTGAGTCGTGTGTGCATTTGCTACCAACTCTTCAGGCGCTCCTACGCTGTTTTCCACGTGCGCGGGCAGAATTTGTGACCAACGAAAATTGTTCGCGTCTGATTGCATTTGTTGCCTGGCGTGGGCATCTGCCCTTGGGCGAGAGCGCAGCCAAGATCCTCGAACAACTTGGTTCATCTCCAACTGCCCCCGGACCAGAGTGTGCAGACGTAGCGCGTGCACCTACAGGCGCGCCTATTGCTCTGCTTGTCGGCGCGATTATTGGCGCAGTGAGGGAGGCACCGCTGGACAATGCACCTGGCTGGCTGCGTCTCCAAGGTGTTTGTCGCACTTTGCTCAAACAGCATTTGCCAGATGCAGCACCACACACATCCACAACAACTACACCAGCCATCAAGTCAACATTTGCAACGGCCAGCACAGAGAAACCATTAGCGATGCAGACATTGTTGCAGAGCTGGTTTTGCATGCTGAAAGCAGCGCTTTTGACATGGAAGAGCAAGGAATGTCCCGGCGTGAGCACCACCGACTTTGGTTTGGTGTTTCACCTCGAGGTTTTGGCCGCCCTCGTACCTAAACTTGATTTGTGCGCAATGACCTCCGGTCGGTTTTAGAGTATCTGCTGACGCTGATTGCGTTCAAAGTGCCTGACTTCCCTTTTTTCTCACTTCCTCTTGATACTTCCTCTTTATAGAATTCCATGATTTGGCATTGTGCTTGACCACACAGTTTCTTTACGCTCTGCCTGACGAGGTGTCTCGCTCTGAGCCCACGTGTCCAAAGGTTTGTCACGTTTTGTTGGTTCGTTATCTGCACATCCTCGAGTGATTTCATTCTCAATTTCACACGTGTTCAACCTGATTGCATGCGCCGATCCATCAACAGTGTGTTATGCGCGACTCTCGAGCGGCTGCCGGCAAGCTTTTGCGGCTTCTTTTAGCACATGATGAACCAGGTCAAAAGACAACAGTTGCTGCTTTGGTCCAATTTCACTCTCCCTATTTTCACGACCCCGAGGCTGCCAACGCTTTGGCAGACATTGAGTTGATTGCTGCCGCTGGCTATTGCGGCCTTCAAAATTTGGTGAGAATCGAAATCTGCTCTCTCAGCGGATCAAACATTTCAAACTGCACTCTTTGTCGGTCCGACTCAGTGTTGCGCTGACTTTTGAAAGCTTTTCAAACATGCCGCAGCTCTCTTATCATTCTCGTGCTTGATTAGGGTGCGACATGCTACATGAATGCTTTTTTGCAACAGCTGTTTTTCATGCCAGCCTTTTGCGCTCGCCTTTTGGCCATCCGCGTAAGTCTCTTTCCTCACCCCTTTGATTCCACATCTTTTGTGAATCGTGTGTTTTCTTTCAATTTTTTTTTTTTTTTTTTTTTTCCTTTCGGGTTTTCTTTTCCAAACAATGATGCCTTCCTGCTTCTCTTTGTTCGTTTGCTTTCTCCCTTCCAGGCCGCACCTGAAAGTCAGGATTCACAACTTTCTGCACCGCTGCCTCAACTGCAAGATCTCTTTGTTGAGCTGAAGTATTCCATTGGGCGTTTTGTGCCAATGCACGAACTATGCGCAGCATATACCGATATGGCCGGTCAACCCATCAATCCTCGCGAGCAAGTTGATGTGGATGAATTTATGAATCAGGTGAGTCTTTGAACTGGCGTGGAACATATTGCATTGCATTGCATTGGTTTGTGTGTGTGTGTGTGTCTGCGTGTGTGTGTGCGCGCGTGTGTGTGGCTTCGTCTGCCTGCTGAGTCAAGGCAAGTGAGAGGTAGTAGGGTGGTCAAAGGAACAGTCACAGCTCGCTTTCAAGGCCGTGGCGTTGTTTCGGCACAAATCTCAGGTGGAACTGACAATGTCGTGTGAACCATTAGTTCTTAGACAGGCTGGAATCAGTTGCACACAGGAGTTCAGATAAAAATCTGGTCCAAGACCTGTTTGGTGGTGTATTGCGGCAAGAGATTCGTGGGCGAGTGAGTGGCTTTGGATCTCCGGCGCTCGAGCTGTGTTTTGAATTCTTTCTGCCCAGATTGCAGATCCTCAGCTCATCGCCTGACGTGATGGTGTATCTTGGGCTGTTCTCTCCTGCATTAGGATTGTGGGCATGTCAGCGCCACCGAGCAATCTTTTTTTACATTGCAGGTGGCCGTCAAGCCGACGTTACAAGAATCCTTGGCCGAATTTGTGCGCGGTGAGCTGCTAGACGGCCAAAACAAGTATCACTGTGCAGACTGTCAAGAGCGAGTGTCTGCAGAAAAATTGGTTCGACTCAGGCAATTACCAGCCTGCGTGATTATTTCCCTGAAGCGCATGGCATATGATATGGAAAGCCAGCAGCGAATCAAGATTCACCAGCGCTGTGAGTTTCCTCTCGACCTCGACTTACGACCATACATGTCTGATGCAGCAATTTCAGCCGCCGAGTTGTATAGGCTCACCGGAGTGGTGGTACACTCTGGCTCAGCTCAGTCTGGGCATTATTATGCGTTTGCTCAGCAGCGCGATTCTTCCCAGTGGCTGCGCCTTGACGATCGTCAGGTTACGCCAGTGAGCACAGACGTTCTCTTGGAGCAAAGCTATGGTGGGGTCAAGCGAGTTGATGCTGATGCGTCAGTCTCCTCGTACCTTAACGCAAACGAGATGAAAGCCTATTCAGCCTACCTGCTCGTCTACGAGCGTGTTGAGCCCAAAAGCATTGTTCCTCGGACATTTTCGATCATGTCGGAAGGGTTGCAATCTGCAGTCAGCCGTTGTCTGCAAGCCAACCGCTTGCTACTGCTCGGAAACCTCTTGCAGCATCCAGATCACTGTGCCACCTTGCTTGAGCTGATGGAGAACACGTCACCAGCCGCACATTTACAGTGTCTTTACTTGGGGGCGCAGCTGCTGCTTGATGCGCCGTTGTCACCAAAAGCAGCGAATGCTAGCCACCAGGCTCAGCACGAGCGTTTGGCGGGGGCCGTGGTAGAGCACCTTCAGACTGGTTGCAGGGGCCCAGTCCTTGGCGAGCAGCTTTTGAAAATGCTCTGCGCTGTACCAGCCCGCCTTGAGCGTTTGTTCCTCCATCCCCAGAGCGCAAAAACTCGCCAGCTCTTGCTCATAGCCATTGGCCACGCTCTGGCTATGCAAGCTGACATGCTACATGACGATTGCGCCAAGTCTCAACGTGTACATCCTGTTACGCCCATGAATACATGTGATAGCCCAGAGCGTACACTTGCTCTCCAGTTACCGGCTCGGTCGGACCTTGCCCTCGAAGTCGCGCAGCTTTGTGTCAATCGAGTTGGGCGCGATCAAGTCTGTGTAAATGGTCGTTTGGATGCATGTCTTTGGCCCCTGGCCTTTGCTGCCGCACGGGCACCTCGTTTGGCTCAGTCACTGATGGCGTCTGGCGTGGTTGCCGATGCAATCTGCCTTCATAATAGCTTGAAGCTCGTCAATCGGCCGCACCAAATCGCTTTACCTGCAGTCTTGGATTTGGTCCATTCGAGCTTGGCTTCTTGTGGCACGAAAGATGCGTGCCAGACTGACCAAGATGGACTTGCCTTGGGTCCATCTTCGGTCACACAACAGGCTGACATTGTCCTGGCTTTGGTTGTGGGTCAAAAACTAGCTACTCCTGACCCAAGCAGTCCTGCCCCTGCCCATGATAAGCAAGAGAAATTAGGCGTTGACTCTGTTGTGTTTTTACGCGAGCAATTGTTTGAACTCGGCAGGACCAGCCTTTCAAATTCCGGTTACGACGAGCACCTCGAGCGCTGTCGGCAACTACTTGCCTTGATTGCCAAGCGGCAATCTAGTATCATGCAACCTGGTATGTCTTGTGGTTTGTTAAAACAGGGTGGGCAAGGATCTGCCCCATCAATGGCATGTCTTGACTCACCCCGTCTGGCCTATGCGTTCGTTCAGTCTGGCAGCATCTGGCCGCAGCTTTGTCCATCGCCGTGCATTGGCAAGGCATTGCAACGCTCGTTCAAACTTGGCTCTGCGGGCCCAATGCAGCAGCTCTGCTGCCCATAGCTTTGGAAGAGCTTCGCAGCTACGCGTTTGGCCTTGCTGGCTGCGCTAAGCTCGATCCACAGCGGGCGTTATTTTGTCTTGCCCTGCTCGCCCGTGAACCAGCACCTCAACAACAGCTTTACCCTTTGATGCAAGACAAGGTAGGTTGCTGCATACTTGTCAAGTTTGCATCGCTTCCTGCTCTCGCTTGTCTCTTTTGGCACAGCGGACGAAAAATTTGGTTTGGTTATCGCTCACAAGATTTATTTTCTCCCGCTGGGTCAACCTCTGTGATTGCGACAATGCCTGGAAATGCACCTTTCCTACCCTTGGATATTGTGCAGCGCTTCTGGCAACTGATTTGGCATGCGGATTACGAAACCCAGGCTGCAGCTGCGCGGCTTTTGCAGGCATTCGTCCGTGTTCCGGCCCTTGATCAAGTGCTTGAACGCCTTGAGGCTGCTGTTGGAGAGGATTGGTCAAACAACTCGTTGTGTGCTGAGATCAAAGCCGTGGCTGCTACCCTCTCCGCCGCACAACGCGAGCTTGTGGCTGACGTGCACACACGGATAGTGCGTGCGCTTGTTGAGGCGCTATCGCCATCAAAGGCTCGATCCGCGACAACCAAGCTAAAGTCCATACGGCTTCTGGCCCACCTCTTGCAGGGCACCATGTCCTTACTTTGGCAGGCTGGTTCCACAGTCCAAGGCATTGCTGACCTTGCCTTCAAAACGTTGTCGGATTTTGAGTCGCTAGAGGGTGCTTCAATCGATGAAGCAGCTGTCATCGGTGTCTTTCAGCTGTATCGTCTTCTGCGCATGGCTCAGATGCAAGACTCAGGTGCCGTGGCCAAAGCGTGCCTGCCTGCCCAGCACTGGGCTTGTCTTTGTAACCCCTTCTTGACCGTGACTCGGACTCGACGCGCCGTTCTGAAGACTCAGCTACCAGCCTACCTGAGCCTTGTGGTTACTCTTGTCTCCGATACGCAGTTCGTTGACATGACGCCCTGGGGCAGTCATCGCATTGCTGCTTGGTTCTTGGAGCATGTTGCTGGAAGTCCGTTTGATTGTGGTGTCAGCGCATCCCTGGTGTTGGATTTGCTGCGTCGGACTCATCAACAATTGGAGTTGCTCTCGGACGACGCATTGGTCGCTTTATGGCGACCGGCCTTGAATGTTGTGCAAGGCCCGCAGACAGAAAACTTACTTGCTGCGCTGGTGCACATGGCCGATGCACCACGCGCCCGAGCATGTTTGCATACAGCGCTCCTCGATATGATCGCTCCGTTGCCCAAGCAACCGAATCTGAAGGTTGACCTACCAGCTCTCTGGGAGCTTCTTCTTTCACCGAAGCGATGCACCCTTTGGGGTCTCAACTGGTTGCACACGATTTTGGAGGTGCTTTCCCGCACTGACGACCTCAAAGCTGAGCGCGCGACCTCGATCGCAACAATGTTGGCCTCAGCAAGCACGGCTGCCGTGCCACTTCGACGGTTTTGCCAAACTTGTTTGGCAACCTTCCAAGGACAATCCAATTCTCATGAGCTTCTACATGTTGGCGTTCAAGTTATGCAGGCGGCGCTGAACCTCTGGGAGTCAGCAGCGGAGCATCTTTTTGACACCTGTGATCTGTTAGACAGGTTATCACCCCGGGCTTGGCTTTCGATGCAAGGCATGGCCACCCTGGCAAATTCGGTAAGTTTGCTCCAAGACCGGCTTTCTTTCACCTGACGAAGCATGAGCCCCCCGAGCATCACAGCTTATTGACGTGTGGAATCTTCCACAGAAAAGTTTCTCGGCGCTATTGGACCTTCTTGATGTGGCTGTCGCCTTGGGCCTGGCTCGTGATGACGATTCGTCTGATCAGGACAATCTTTTGCTTGGTACGAACAATGAGCCTTTTTTGGAAGTGGCAGGCGCTTAGATAAGTTCTCATGTATGTTTTTTTTTTTTTTTGGGGGGGGGGGGGGCGGGTCTGCTTTCGTCCCGAGATAGGCACGCAATTTTTGATGCGACTCAAATTTATTGCTGGACTCAGCGACCAGATTGTGCCTGCGGAAACAGAGGTTTGTGCTGTCGCCGGCAGCAGGTCTGCATTCACACGTATCACTTGTTTTATTATCGAACAACGAGGTTTTTTTTTTTTTTTTTTTTCCTTGCGCTCACATATTGTTTCTATCCATTGCAACACCGCAGCCCTTGCCAGGCTTAGTGACGGATCTTTGCTGTCATTATCTGGTGGAGTGGATGAAAGTGCGTAACTCGGGGGATTCAAGGACTGCAGGCAAGAGCGTTGATTGGCAGGTGGTGCTATCACAATGTACCTCTTTCTTCAATGAAGTGAGTTCCTATGACTGCACGGAGGTTGAGCAGGTACATCTTTGGAAGAGTCGAAATGTTAACATTGTTGCTTCCCTTTTTTTAGGCGGATGACCGCCAACTGGCCCAGGCTCTTGACCAGCTACGGCCCTTGTGCTGTGAAGTTGCGCTGTCATCTGTGGCAAGTTCAGCCATGGGTGAATTTCTGCAGGCTTTTGAAAACCAGTGTGTGCCGAGGCGTTGCACGGCGGGTCTGGAGAGCACGTTGGCGGAACTTCGATGCAGCCTTGCGCAAAAGTCTGATAACGAAGGGAAGGAACTTGAAGCAAAGAATCTGCCAGGCGTTGTTTTGCAGGCGCCGGGCACTTTTGAGCAGGTGGCTAGTCCGCGAAAGCGCCGTTCAGAGGGGTCCTCCGACTTGTCTTCCCCGACAATGGGATGCAAGTCGGTGAAGCATGACGTTGCCACTACCTCCGCAGCGTTTGGTGGCGAGCTGGATTGACTGCTGTGTGCTGAGCTTCGATGAAGAAGTGGTCTCATCTTATCCTATGAATGTTTACTGGCGGTTTGTTGCGTTGTGTGTGTGTGTGTGTGTGTGTGTGTTTGAGTTCTCCCCCTTTTCAGAGGCAAAGCAGGCAGGAAGCGTGGGTGGCGTCGACGTGTCGTCGTGAGACTGGAGTGTCTGTCTCCTTCCTGTTTTTTTCATTTGATATCCTATTTGCACCTTGTTGTTTACAGTGTGCAAGCCAGATCTAATAGTCTGCTATAATCGATTGACATGTGAACACGGCGGCGAGTCTGAATATTTTGGCCAGCCTTGGCTATACGTAGCTTGATGGGTTGCTGGGCCACGAGACAAAAAGACACCAATGAACCAGACCACGAAATTAAAAGCCACGAAAACGCTTCCTCGCAGAGGAAAAGACGGTGTTCCAGAGCAGTTGACAAACGAGAGGAGCAGGTTTGAAGAACAGTTTCAATGCATGCTAGCGCGCCCAATCTGCATGTGCTAGGTTGATGGCAAAATCGTCATCATCCTCGAGGGAAGACTAAGTGCAAGAGAAGAGGGGGCAGGGGGCAAGAATTGAACCAAAATGAGCTTGAACAGCAATTTCGAGAGCAAGATGGCGGAAAGCACCACAATTTCGAATATTGGTCGAGGAGGGTGGGGCGAGGGGAGCAAGCAACCTCGGATTGGCGAAATGAAACTCGGCCGCGTAACAAAGGCTTGTTCTCGGTATCCGCAGTTGGAACCCGCACCCAAAAAAACAAGGTGACAACGACCACTGGGAAAAATTCCCAGACCAGAAGAGCAAGCACGAAAGCAAGAAAGGCCCATCCATCATCGGCTTGTCGGTCGGCCTAAGTTGGTATGGTGAATGGCATTGTGAGGTTGTGTGTGATACGTAACGGCAGCAAGGTCACCACCTCAAGACGCAGCTGAGCATACATGATCGGATAGGAAGGTCCAACGGTAGCCCCAGATGTGCGACTTGGCGGTGTTGATGGAGACGATGTTGTAGATGCTGCGGCTCACAAAGAGCGGGGCGATGATGGCGGCCAAGCCGATCATTTTTCTGGTGATGCGCGGGCCCTCCAGTAGGGGTCCACGCGAGCCAAGCTAAATGGATGGATGGTCGCAGGTGCGCGTATGGGGTGCGCGCACGTTAGAGATGGCCATCGTCACTGACGATCGGGAATCGACTGTATTGTAAAGCGCCAAAGATGGAAAAAACGCAAAAAGCTGACCTTGAAGGCCACTGTGATCAGCATGAAGCTATTGGCCACCATGAAGAGCTCGGTAAAGTAAACGCGAGTTTGCATTTGAGCGTTGAGAGAGGCCTGTGAGGGCCGCCAATCACGAGCCAGGTGGTGCAAGACACAAAAACCGTAAGAAAGCTGCGAATGGAAACGGGGCCGAAACACTGGGCTTTTGCTGACTGGCTCGTACGTCGTCATGCTCGGCAGCACTTTGTTCCATCAGAGCCGCACAGAGTATGTTGGTGCAGGCAAAGCCAAAATTTGCCAAAAAGCTGCAGAGAGGTCGAGGAAGTAGCGGCAGCAATCGAGAGTCATCACCGCGAGGAGAAGAAAGACGAGCAGCAGAAGATACAGAGAGGGAGATCGTGCGATGAAGAAAGCGTGTGAAACGAGCGACATGATGGGGCCGGGGGCTAGTGTTGGGCGGTGCTGAGAACATGGATTGCCAGGGTGACGCCTTTGGCGGCAGGGGAAAACATACAACAGAGTGCGCGAGATGAAGAAGAACCAACGATGATCTCTTTGACCGGCAGAGGCGTGGGTCACAACCTGAGACCGCATAATTGCCGTATGGGTGCAACGTGTGATGGGTCATGAGCGTGGCCAGACACACGACACGCCGGCCAGGGCAAGGCTTTGGGCAATGGACCGACCGATACGTAATGTAGGTTGACAGCCGAAAAGGTCAAAAATTGCAAGCACGAGGGCAGGACGAAGAGAACCACGTAGACGACAAACTAGTGTAGCCAGTGAATGGCGGGCAAAAGCGAGCCAGTTTTATGAGACTCTCGATCGAAACACGGGCTAGTCAAACTTCTTGCTTGGCTGGCGGCAGTCGTGCAGATGACGCACATCAAGATGGGCGGCAACGTGGTGGCGGATGGCATAAGTGATGAGAAGCGCAGTACGCAGGATACTCCAGAGCAAGGATGATGTCAGGCAAATGTTGAAGCAGGAGAGCTTGACGTGGTTATAGAGCCAGACTCGAAGGACCTACGGGCATTGAGGGAGGCGGCATCGGGTGAGTTGGGCTGGCGGGGGAAAATGCAGCACAAGGATGCTGAAGGCACACGCCGGCTTCAGCTGGATCTGGCTGAAAGCTGATGCTTTGGGGAGAAATTATCAAGGGGAAAAAGTCGGGCGAAGGCACACCTGAACGGCCAGGATCAGAGTCAGCAAACCCAAGAGGGTGGCAAGCGCGAACACAGCTGGTCCATGTACAGCATGGCTGACCGAGGCCGGCAAAGTTGGCCCATAGGTCGGCCAAGGTACCTGCAGCGCGAGAAACAAAGCCACCAAGCACAACCAAGCACGGCCAAGCATGACCAAGCACGTTAGTGAGCCCCAGGCTGCCTTGTCTGATCGCAGGTCTTGCCCGCACCACCACGTGATCGCGCTGGTATCAGCGAGCCAGCATCAGGAGGACGCACCAAGGTTGGGGCATCTCCGGTGGTCGAGACAAACCCCGTCGTCGAATTGGCCTCCATGCTGATGCTCATTCTCATCCCACTCCCACCAC